CCTCCAGCATGGATCTTTTTGCTGCTTCTATGGCTGAGCCCATACTCAACAGCTAGCTTGTAGCTGGAGCCATATTGTGTAGAAATCACCATTTTTCTCAAATGCTTTGCTAGGATGCTCACACCTAGAAAGGGAAAAGGGGATGATGACAGCTTAGACCTCTAACAGATTAAAAATATTTCTAGTGTCAGCAATGGGGACAGAGTCTCAAGTCCTTCAGCTCAGCCTTGTCTGTGAGAAGGCAAATAAACCAGTAGAGCCATATGGGTATCTAGACCTTTGAGTTTCCAGGGATGGATAGCTCATAACATCCTGTGATAGCCTTTTCTGGTATTTATCAACTCCCATTGTCAATAATGACTTATTTATGTCTAACCCCATCTCCCACTGCAATTTCAGTCCATTTCCTATTACTCTGTAGATATGGAGAACAGATGGTCAACATTCTCCTTATAACCTTCCACAGAGTGGAAGATACCCACTGAGGCCCTCCCAGGTGGCACTTATTTTCCTGGCAAAAAGAGTTCCAGCTTCATTTTTTTGCACAAGTTTCATTTTCTAGTTAGTTATTTCATTGAACTATGTTGGATTTTCTTTGAAAAACTACAGTGTTTTTTTCTTTGAAAACCACACAAGCAGATGATTAAAATTCAAACATTATGAAAAGCATGTGTGGTGAAAATTAAGCTTCCTTTCTACCTAAAATCCCCCAGTCTGTCTCTCTGGAAGCGGTCGTTCTCACCAGTATTTTCTTCCAGATAATTCTGATTGATATATCTAATATATATGAATATATTCTCCCCAAATTATCTTCAGCTTTATATTAGTAAGCTTTTGAATACTATTACAATATACTGGACACAGGCTACTTATGAAGTAAAGAAGTTTATTTTGGCTTACAGTTTTGGAGTTATTTCTTTGGGGTTCTGAGAGGGCAGTGCTTCATGGCAGAAGCATACAGCATAGCAAACGCATTTTGAGGAAGGCAAAGTGAAAGAATGAGAAGCTGAGGTTCTATAATCTCCTTACTGTGGCTGTAACTTTTCTCAGGTCCCACCCAGTCCAGTGGTCCCTTAGCTGCTTATAAAATATTAACTCTATGGCCTATGGCAAACCTCTTGCTAGCTAGCTCTTATAGTTTAACTCAGCCCATAACTATTAATCTATGTGTCACCACGTGTTCCCTGGCTTTACCTGCATCCCATTACATGTTGCTCCTAGGACAGCAGTCTGGCATCTCCCCCCACTCCGCCTTTCTCTTTCCTGTCTCTCTCCTTGGATTTCCCACCTGCCTCAATGCTGCCTTGCCATAGGCCAAAGCAGCTTATTTATTAACCAATGGGAACAACATATATTCACAGCATACAGAAAGACATCCTCCAGCACCTTCCAGGGTCCATTCCCAGTGACCTAAGAATTTCATGCTAGGCCCTCCCTCTTAAAGGTCCATGGAGCTAATAGAGCCACTCTGGGGCCCAAGACTTTATATATGGACCTTAGAAAGACTGTTCATACACAATCCATAGTAATCTTCAGTTCAGAAAATATTCATTAAGCAGTTTTCATATCAGGCATTATGTTAGCTCCAGTGTCAGGATACAAGGAAAATAGAGACACGTTTCTCCACTTTTAGGATATTTACACTGTAGTAGAGGAGAAAGATGTCACCCATGTATCATGTATTGATTGTGCACCCTCTGTATGCCAAGCTATGTGTGAACCCCTGAATAACATGGAGTTCATGGCCTTCCACAGCTCAGTATGTAGAGAGATCAATGAGCAACCATGGTGTGAAGTAGCAAACATCAGAGAAATACCATGGTACTCCTTGACAATTGCTCTACCACTGTTTGTAAGCCATGGGGTGGAAGTAGGTCCAAATGTAAACATTATGCCTAGTGTAAGGGAGACCCCTTCAGAGTCCCAGACAGGATCTGTGGCACTGGAAGTATGATTTAAGCCCCTTTACACATTCTACCTCATGAAATCTTATAACATGTGGTGAGTTCTACTATTCATGTTTTACAAACAAGGGAAGTTGGGGGTCCAGAGATGTCAAGGAGCTGGCCTTAAGTCATAAATCTTTCTACTAAGCCTTGGCTCTTCTCTGTCAGATCACTCCCAACTTCCATGCTCAGGAGTCAGTGATGGGTAATTTTTGTACATTTCTTATTTCTTTTCCTCATGGAGATTCCTGGCCTTCAGATTGGTTGAGGGAATCCATTAGACTGAAATTTTCCACTTAAAGAATGAGATAGGGAAGAAAATGCCATGGTCTGAAGAGTCAGATTTTAGCACTAATTCCTACTCTGATGTCACGAGCTCTGTGACCTTGGGCAAGTCAATCTCTAAGGACTTTAGAGTCCTCATCTTTGAAGTTCAGAGACTGGCATGGGTCATTTCTGGGTCTTTGATGGGATTTGGTGATATGTTCATGGCCAATGATATTTTCATCATAGCCCAAGGCTATATTGCTGCCTTTTGACAAAAACTACTCCCCTGTCTGCCAAGAATGTGTTGTTGCCTTCTTGGCCTTTACCTTTCATTCATAGTTCTGAATACCGCTCAGACCCTATTTTGTCAATAAAGTGAAATAAACCTTAAGTAAATGAACAAGCATCCATTTAATATATCCAAGTTAATTGACACATTGATTAACTAGGGACAGATGATAATCCTTAATGAAAACTGGGAAGGAGTTCTGAAATTAGTGGGTTATTGCAGGTATGTAATAACCTGAGAACTTTGCTCAGGCTGATTTTATGCATGGGAGAGCAGCCCCATGACATGCTGCAGGCCACAAAAAGAGGATCTGCCCTGGTCAATATGCCTCATAAAGCTAGGAGCAGAAAGGCTGTTTTGATCCAGAATAAAAGGGGACTGAGACATGGCCAGCAGAGAATGAATTCCCTCATTCTGCTCATTCCACTTCATGCCTGAAGTAGACATTTGGAGTCCAGACCTCACTATTTGTGAGACAAACTCTTCTTTTGGACATTATAAGCACACGAGGGGAAGTTCAAGGGACCCTAATTCCCAGGTAAGTGCTTTTCTTCCTCTCTTCTCCCCTCCTTTTCTTCTTTCTTTCCTCATTTCCTCTCTCTTCTTTGTTTTCTTCCTTCCTTTACGTTAGAATTGTGATCATAGTAATCATTAATCATAAAAGTACCAAACTGCATGTCATTGTATGATGTATAAAATAGAAATCCTCAATCTCCACTGTTTCCTTCTCTCTGCTTCCTTTCTTTTACTTCATCTTTTCATTCTTCATGCTAGTTTTCAAAATTATGAAAATGATGCAGAGCCTTTGCAAAAACGAACAGTAACAAAAATCCAAGAAGCACAGAATCACAAGTAGTGTAAAGGAAATATCTTATTTTCATTCTTCCAGCATTAGACTCCTGTTTCCCCCTTCCCTCTTTGTTTTATTTTTCCTCCATTAAAAAATCATATATTCACATTATGAAACAATCAAGCCATATAAAATTGTATTGGCTATATGGGGAATCTTCTGAAGCTCCTCTCCCTTCCTCAGCCTAACATTTCATGCCAGACCTATTCCTTTTAGCAGCTGCATAGTATTCTGCAGTGAATGTCTGTTGATTTATTTACTCACTGTCATTTTTAAAAAGTTTAAAGGAAATGAAAAATGGATATAAATTGGCTTGTTTGCTGCTGAAAATTCCATTTTATAGATAGCAATCCATCATGTCCATTTCTGTAGCACTTTATATTTTGAAAATTGCCTTTGAAATATCATCTTAATTGATTCTTTCTTACAGCAGCCCTGGGAAATAGACAGATTATTATCATTACCACTTTACAGATAAGGAAACTGAGGCCCAGGAAAATTAAGGAACAGAAATAGGTATGGTCTCACAGATAGTTGCTAGATTCCCAGGCGAGTCATCTTATGACACTATAAATTTAAGCTGCATTTGATCTCAGAATTCATAAAAGATTTGAATACCTCCTTACTTCTAAGCATGTAGCTTAAAAAACCCACCCAAGTCATACAAATTCTCTCATTATCCTAATGAGAATGGCAGCAGAATGCAGTAAATATGAAGATCTTGATTAATGGCTAGTGCTCATAGCAAGCTCAAGATTCATCAGATTTCCTAATTGGCCTTTATTGTGATATTAAATGTAAAAGTGAGTCTATTAACTCCAAACCCCACATAGAAGTGGGAAGAAATCCAATATATTACATTACCCTATAGGAGGAAAAAAAAACCCGCCTAAATCAGTAGTAAATCATTCAAGAGTGTATTTCATTCAGAATCAGAAAATGCCTGTTAGCATCCTACTTCCAGCTTTCTGTAATAAATTCCCACAGGATTTGTGGTTTTAGCCACAATTTATATCTAAGCTACAACTGTGCTCAGGGAAAAGGGATGCAGACGTTCAATACATTTCCTAAATAAGAAACTTCAGTTGCAATTAATTAAACAGAGAAGCTGAGTGAAAATAATGAGATGGTGGCCAGGTTTCTAGAAACAGCTCTGCTTTGAGAACAAGACTTGTTTGATGAGTTACTTTTGTCAATAAGGCCATCTTGCATGGTGCTTCTTCAACCCTGACATGATTATTACACAAATACATGTATCACAGCAACACAGTGTAGCCCACCAAAATAGATAATTGTATGTTAACTAAAACCACAAAAAACCTTGAAAACAAAACCCACCCAGAAACTAAAGACCATTAAAACTGCAAGTAGTTTCTTTCTAATTGTGTTTTTTATATGGCTCTTCCCACTGAGATAACTACCTTCAGGGTAGCTATTTCCATTTCATCACTATATTCCCAGTGAGTAACACAGTGGCACATAGTAGGGACATAATGAAATCAGTCAGTATGGCTGTAGCCACTGAGAATGACTCAAGGGTGGGCCCTTACGTGGAATCTGAGGGAGAAGTGTGATCATATGCACTTATAAATTGCTTTTTTTGAATCTTATCTGGGCGTATTTTGACTCTTTGAATACAGGGTAGACAATGAAAAATCACATACTGTATCAGAAGCTTTATGGATTGATTCTTGTTTCGAGTTTTATCTTTCTTTCAGGTAAGAAAATACATTTTTTATTCTCCCTCCCAACATATAGAAGGTTCTAGAAATCAACTATTAGAAAAAATATTATCACTGAAGATTTACTGGCTGCCTCCTACTGGTCAATATAGCTTTAGGACATGCTAGAGTTTCAGTGTACAAATGTATTCATTAAGTATTTTATGTGAATGAAGGCAAACTGGCCTCAAGCAAAAACTAGCTTGGACTACTGTCTTTGATGTTTTCGGAAATGCCATTTGGTAGTCAACATACCCCTAATGGAACATTTAGGTTTTCTTTTGGACTGTTTCCTCTCATGCATAATGCTTTATTTAAAACTTCCTGATGCCATCTTTCTGTATCCTGTATATGTTTATGAAAATAATAATAGAATATAGATAAGGAAACTGAGGTGTGCTGAAATCTCTTAACTGATTGATAGTGACACATGGGTGTATGTCTAGAAGGGTTTGTACCTTACACTCTGTGACGGAGGAGTGGAGAAACTGTTCCTCCATTGAAGTTAAATAGGTGACAGGCAGTTGACTGAAGTAGCCAGCAATTTGAAGAATGAAGATTTTCTTGAAATATAGCAATCTCATCCATATGAAGTAAGCTCAGTTGATAACATTGTTCATTTAGCAAATCAACCCTTAGTTGAAAGGTCATACATGCCAGTGACCGACAATTCTGGATGAAACTAACCTGGGGTTTAATCTGAACAATGCTCGGATTTCAGAGCTAATTTCTGGAAAAATACATCACCATCACCATCAATAGCAAACACCGCCTAGCTCCTTGCTGCATGCAGGGCCTGATGGGAAACCACATTTCTTATAATAAAGGTTGAAATGGGACCTGCAGGGCACAGTGGCAACTTTGTCACTTGGCATTACCTACCTGCTAAGATGTTGATTTATCTTTCCCCAGCCTGCTTCCCTGAGGCAAGAAGCTTTTTTTTTCTTCTATTTTCTTATCCAAAATCTACACCACAGATCTTGTTACGTAAGTTAGGCATTTGGTACACATGTGCTTATTTTATACATCAACTCAGTTTGAAGTTATAAAACTTTAGAACTCTGTTTGGTGGTGATGTATATTACACAAACCTTTCTGAGTTTTATGTGACGGGGCATGGAGCATGGAATAGCATGAACTAAGAACAGAGCAATATAGGAGTCTAATGTAGTCATGGCATGAAAAATATAAGAAATGTGGTATAGAAGAGCATGTACCAAGTTTTTGAGTAATGTCCTTAGTCAAAATTATGACATGTGCACAAGGTTTTAAATTTATGCAATTCACTTTAAAGCATTATGAGTTTGTTCAGAATGTTTACATCTCAAATTCATGAATCCAGGCAATAATTCTGGATTTAGATTATCAAACTAGTAAGTACAACTGTTCTTCAATTGGTGAGCAATGCATTACTTTCTTCCTGGAAAAAATTTTTGTTTTTGAAATCATGATATAACTAAGGTTCAGTTCTCTTCAAGTTCTTGACGAGTCACCAGCCTCCTAACTGTGAGGGTCATTGTGGGGGAGAGATTAAGGGCAGATCAAGCAGAGAGTGACTCAGAAATGCTTCAACTGGATGGGTTGACAGTGGAGCAAACTGTGTTCATAGAACAATACCAAGGGTAGGCAAGAAGAAAACACCTGTCGTAAACTCCAAGAGGTAAGAGCAGGAACAACAGGAAGGGACAAATGGTAGGCTTGGGGGTCAAGTAGTCACAGGATGTAGCAAGAGGTAAAGTATAAGGCATGAACGGGTAGAAAGAAGACCTAGGAGTTAAGTTTCCCCTGCTGTTTTAGTTGGCTTGGGCTACTGTGACTGAATGTTTTAAACAACACCTCTTTATTTCTCATCTTTGTAGAGTATGGGAGATTCAAGGTCAAGATGTCAGCTAATTTTACTACTAGTGAAAGCTCTCCTCCTGTCTTTCAAATGGACCTTCTCCCAAAGTCCTCACAAGGCTGAGAAGGAGAGAAAGAGAAAGGGAGAGAGAGAGGAAGAGAGGGCAGGCTCGATGTAACAGGACAAGCTTTGCTATATAGAGTGTGTTATAGGCCAGGTTGGTTGTTCACACCTTTAATCCCAACACTCAGGAGGCAGAGGCAGGAGGATCTCTATGAGTTCAAGGCCAGCCTAGTCTACATAGTGAGAGTTCTAGGACAGCCAGGACTACATAAAGAGACCCTGTTTCTAAAACAAACAAACCAAAAAACAAAACAAAACAAAAACACCCAAAATACCAAAAACGCAACAACAAGAGTGTTTTATGATTTGTTTGTTAATATAGGTAGAGTGTTGTTATTGTAGTCCACACAGGCCTTAAACTCATGATCTTCCCGACTTAGCCTCTCAAGTGCTGGGATTATAGGCGTGTAGCACTATGCCTTCCTTGTAATGTGTTTTAGAGTATTCTTGATGAATGGAAGAATGGTTGACTTCTTTGACATAATCACATGGCATTGAAGCTCAATATTTGGTACCCTTGAATCTTTTACTCTTATACTGAGTAGTTAATTTGGGCTGGAATCAACTTTATTAATGTCCTTACATATACAGAGACAACTTGACCAGGGGTCTTTTGACACAGGAAGGCCCTAGAACTATGTCAAAAAATGTGGCCAAGCCATACTTGGTCAGAGAATGCCAGGATGTGGTTAGAATCAGTTAAGGAAACTTCCTCTGAAAGGCATTTGTGTAGTCATGGTAAGATTACCGCCCCCCCCCCATTTTTTGAAGAGCTCATTTGTTGAGAAAGGCGAAGTGGAGGATGAAGTTTGAGTAGGCATTGCAAATTTCCTTGTAAACTCCAGAGCTGACCTGTACAATGTGGTGAATACTTACAACACATGACTCTTTAACTCAATCTATTAAAATAAAAGTAACACAAGTCACATGCTGAGTACTCAGCTCCTAAAGGTGACTAGTGGCTACTATATAGACGAGTGCCAAGAAATAACACCTCTGACATCACAAAAAGGGACTCTGCTGTTCTGTAGGTTGTGGGAACTGGTCCTTTGACAAATGACACAGAACACAGGTTTACAGAAATGTAATTTCCATCCCATAAAGTACACCAATTTAAAAGTACAATTCAATGATTTTTAGTGTGTTTACAAAGTTGTGCACTCATCACTACTATCTAATTTCAGAGAGTTTTCATCATCCTCAAAGAAAGCTCAAACTCTATATTCATCTCCTTCCCCCCCCCCCCAAGTTAGACCTTGGCAAGCACAGGTCTGCCTTCTTTCTCTCTGAGTTGGCCTCTTAAGAAAATTTCATTTAAGTCATACAGTATTTGACCTTTTGTGATCAGTTTTCTTCACTTAACGTATTTTTTTCGGGATTCACCCATGTGCCATTTATCCTTCATTCATTCCTCTTTATTGTTAAACAATATTTACTTTTATCAATATACCTTGGAGTTTCCCATCTGTCAGTTAATACATATTTAAGTTTGTTTTTACTTTTTGGCTAGTGTGAATAATGCTGCTGTGAGCATTTGTATGCAGGTTTTTTAATGGACATATGCTTTCATTTCTTTTGGGAGTGTGCTCAGGAGTGAAATTGCTGACTCATATGATAACTTTATGACTAATATTTTGAGAAGCTTCTAGGCTATTTTTCAAAGAAATGTAAAGCTGCTTTGCTTTACATCCTTGCTAGCAGTATGTGAGGGATCTGATTTCTCTACACATTTGCCAATTCTTGTTGCTATCTTGTGATTATAGCCATCTTAGTGGCATAAAGTGATATATTACTGTGGTTTTGTGTCTTCCTATGATGTAGATTGTCTTTCATGTGTTGTAATAGGATGATATTTCTTTAGAAAGGGTCTTGCTTTATAGTACAGGCTAGCCTACGATACTGTGTATCCTAGGCTGATCAAGGGATCATGATCTTACTGCTCCAGCCTCCAGAGTACTGCCACTTTCACAACATACCACTAGAACAAACCACAAGTTTTTGCTGGCTTGCTTATTTGTTTTGTAATTCTGGGGATTGAACACAGGGCCTTCCACATATTAGGTAAGTGCTTTATCACTGAGCTACTTGCCTGCCCCAGACATTTTATCTGTCAATATTCAGAGCTCCTGGACTGCAAAAATTACACCTTTCAGATTTTGCTGAGTATATTTTTTTAGTTTGAAATTTTCAAATACATGTTTTCCTTAGTGGACATAGTCACAGTGCTTTTGGAGCCACTATATTACACATAGGAAAGGCTAACATGGTAGAATGTTTTTGAGGGACTGAGCATTCCATTTAAGTTGGTTAAAAACCACTTATATTTCTCCAGGCTAATAGATAATAGAATTTTCATTTATCAGCTGTGAAAATGTTAATGGGGAAATTTCATAGCTTGAAAAGTAGGTCTTAAATGCTGGGTTCCCCCTGTTGGCCTTGCAGATAGAGCTAGATACCAGCCTAGAGTTTTATTATGTATGGGACCTATTATCCCCACAGCATAGAAACTTTGGTGGGGAGGCAGAGGTCCTAGTAAACTTACTGTCAGGTAGTAATCTTCATTCTTTTCCCATAGGTTCTCTGTACATCATTGACCCATGCTGCATCCTTCTCTTTCTACATCCATATTCAATCCATTGAGTCTAGCTTATGCCACTTCTATTTCCCAAATCTCTTTTCCTTTATATATATCGTGTGTGTGTGTGTGTGTGTGTGTGTGTGTGTGTGTGTGTGTGTGTGTGCGTTGTGTTGTGTGTTCCTCCCTTCTTTGACATGGTCTGGCCACCATGATCTCCATTCAATGGCCTCCCAAGTGGAATCTCTGTTCCCACTATAGTAAGTTTTCATTGCAGCAGCCAGAATGATTTTTCAATATATCAGTTCAAACCATGTTGTTCTTTTACTCAAAACTTTCCATGAAGCTCCTATTACGGACTACAATCCAAACCCTAAAAGACATGGCCCGATCTGGTACCTTGCTGCCTTTTGGGTCTCATTTTCCACCATGCTTCCCCACTGTCTTACTCTCGATATG